GCCGCGCGTTCTCCGCCGGGGCGGGCGCGCCCCGCATGCTAATGAGCGCGTGCCCCGCGCGCGCGCCCCCTCGCTGATTGGCCGCCGCGCGGCGCTCGCGCCCCGCCGGCCATTGATCCCCCACCCCCGCCCTCCCCCCGGCTCCATTCTTCCTCCGGCGCGCGCGCCGCGCGTCAAGAGAGCGCCGCTCCCGATTGGCCAGCGGGCCGCCGGCGCTCCCGCCAATCGGCGCGCGGCGAGCGGCGCGGAACGGCGGCGCCTAATTCAAGCCCGGCGGATGAATGGGGAGGAGGGAGCGGCGCGCAGGCGCAGTGCGCGCTCGGGGCGGAGGGGTGGGGGGGGAATTGCATCGCTGCGCGCCCCCCGCCGCAGCGCGCGGGCCCCCCCCGCGCCGCGATTGGCTGGCGGTGCGCCAGCGCGCTGTCAATCACGCAGTGTAAACAAGGCGCTGATTGGCCGGAGCCGCGGGCGGTTTCAAGGCGCCCCCTCGAAGGGGGGCGGGGGGGGACACGCGCGGCGGGGGCGGTTTCCAGGCCCCCCCGCGCACACCCCGGAGCGGCCCGGGCCGAGCGAGCGGGATCAAAGAGCGGCGGGCGGGGAGCGGGGAGCGCCGCCGCTCCGGCCGCCGGGCCCGGGCACGGGCAGCGCCGCCGCTCCGGCCGCCGGGGCCTGCCGGGCACGGGCAGCGCCGCCGCTCCGGCCGCCGGGCACGGGCAGCGCCGCCGCTCCGGCCGCCGGGCCCGGGCACGGGCAGCGCCGCCGCTCCGACCGCCGGGCACGGGCAGCGCCGCCGCTCCGACCGCCGGGCCCGGGCACGGGCACGGGCAGCGCCGCCGCTCCGACCGCCGGGCCCGGGCACGGGCAGCGCCGCCGCTCCGACCGCCGGGGCCGGGCACGGGCAGCGCCGCCGCTCCGGGACTGCCGGGGCACGCCGGGCACGGAGAGAAGTGCTGGGGGGCGTGCGGCCGAAGGGAGTGGGCAACAAGGGGGTAACTGCGGGCTGCGGAGTGTGGGAGGGACAATAACGGGCTCTGTGCGATGCTGCGGGACGTGTGATGTGGGGGGGCTGTGCGGTGTGAGCGGGACAACATGGGGGGCCATGTAGGGAGGAAGGGGGGGTGTGCAGTGTTGGGGAGTGCAGTGGGGCGCTTGGAGTGGTTGGGGGCCCGGTGAGGTGGGGATGTAATGTTGGGGGATGTGCAGTGAAATGCTGGGGGGTTGTGCAATGTTGGGGGGCTGTGCAGTGGAGGGAGTCATACAGAGCAATGTGTGGGGCTGCGCGATGTGGGGGCCTATGCAGAGCAATGTGTGGGGCTCTGCAGTGTTGAGGGGCCATGTAGAGCAGTGTGTGGGGTTCTGCATTTTTGGGGGCCTGTGCAATGTTCGGGGGGCCATGCAGAGCAATGTTTGCAGTGTTGGGGGGCCATGCAGAGCAGTGTGCGGGGTTCTGCAGTGTTGGGGGGCCATGCAGAGCAATGTGTGGGGCTCTGCAGTGTTGGGGGGCCATGCAGAGCAATGTGTGGGGCTCTGCAGTGTTGGGG